TCGATAATGATAATGCCGATGAGTCCGTATAATTTTATCATTAGTTCAAATAATTTTACTATTAATCTGAATGATAATACCACTGACACTTTTCGCGACGGGATTGTAGACGATTAATTTTTAAACGAAGCATGGTAGCATAATTTCGTAAATGTATAAAAGTATAGAATTTCAAAATTTGATATTGTGTACCGAATTGCGCGAGTCGTCTCCCATAGCAAGTCTTTCTTAGAGAGTCTCAAGTCAGAGATTGGACACCATATCTAGAGATCTTCAAGTTAGAGCCTTTTAGCAGAAAGCTGACTTATAAATCTTAAGACAGCCCGGGGAAAACTATTTTATATATAATCAGGGGTGGGCATTCACATTGAATTATTTAAGCATTAAAGATCCAACTTCGACCGTTATATGCTTTAAATTCTTACTTGTATTTACCAAATATTTTTACCTCTTCTACAAATCCATAAAGTTTCATTAAAATCGGAAAAAAACTAGATTATCAGTATGCGTGAAAATTTCAATAAAATTCCTAAGGATTTGTGTCACAAAAACATATATGTTTTCTATTAGAGAGATTTACAGAATGTGTTTTACTTTCAATATCTCTCTAAAAAATCTCTGCACAACTATAAAGTTCTCACTTTCAGAACTTTATAGTTGCGTTCCGTTTTCACGCTCACATTGTGGCTGTATTCTAAAATTAACTGTCAGTACTGAAAAATCGTAGCACAAAATGTAAACTGCAGATTTTCAGTACCAGCAGTGAATTTTGCAACACAGCCATTGTAAACCAAAAGGGAACGCACCTTACATTAAGAATTGAAATTGATGTAATCTCAGCGAATTCAAATTCCGCGTGACGCTACATGCATTCGAGAAAGAACTTTATATCACACAAATGTTGCGTTTCATTTATTTATGAATAAGTATAAGAATCAGTATTTAACCAATTTAAATATCAGTGTCAACTTTCGTTCTGCATACGTGCGATAGCAATTACTAGAACATCTTGATGTCGTTCCTTTCATCATTTCGCAACATCTTTCATAATATCTCTTGTTTTCCAGTATACACAGTAATAATTTTGTGCAACGTTTATTAATTCTTTTTCTTTGGCAATTAAATGCAAATTTACATTAAATGATAAGTTCTTTAAATAAGCAGATTAATTTTTCCCTCTGAAATGATACATATGTATTGCGATATAGGAAGCAAATAATTTATATTACATATATGCCGTACCTTTTCCATAATTTTCCTACAAGTTTCCAGACGTGATGAATCTATATGGTACGGTACCATTAAGAATTAGTGATGTAAAGTTGTAAAGAGGTGTCACCTTAATTACGAATACCACTTTCGAACTTAGAGCGTATGTATGTTATAGAGTTGTGGTTAAATTTACTTTTTTTTAAACTAAGTTAAGTGTTAAAGTTAACAGTCTTAAAAATTTAACTTAGTTAAGATAAAAGTTAATCCATATGTGGATTAATTTTTTTTAGTGACATTAATTGAATTAAATTAAGTTAATGAAAAATAGTACATTACGATACAAGTGCGCAAAGTAGGTGTTTCCCACACGAGCGAAGTTTGTCGCCCGAGCGAAGCGAGGAAACTGATATTTTGCGCACGCAAATGCGTGTGCAAAATCGAACTTTGCGCACGATAGTAGGAAAAAGTAATTGAAGAGTAAAAGTTAAATTTGTTTTATTTCAAGATTTCAAGTTAACTTTTTTAAACTAAAAACTAAAATTAAAAACTAAGTTAAAAAGTTAACTTTTTTAACTAATAAAGGAAGACTCATACGTATTTCACGGATTTTGATCAGCTTTTGCGTGATTATTCTGGGGCACCAGAATAATCCCTGTAAAGCAGTAAATTGCACTTCTACGTATTTTTCGAGAAAATCGTGATTTAGGTCACGACGAAGAATCGTTTTTGAACCCTTTTATTTTTTTTGTTTAAACGTAAATAAAATATTTGAAATAATTTAAAATTAAAAAAATACATACACGGCTACGATGGATACGAATGTATAAGCATATAATGCGAGTATAGGATTCCTATAACGCCAACTACCCCGATGTTAACTTTTAAAAATTCAAATTAAAAGTTAATAATTATCGATAAAGTATAACTATATAAAATTGAAAAGTTAAAAGTATATAACTAAATAAAATTAAAATTAATTAACTTTTTAACTTTTTAACTTAGCATTACCCAATCTTGATATTATACACTGTATATTGTATATTATACACACTGTCTATATTTCCTGTGGCCCACAAGTATGTTCAAATTGGGTTAATATATATATATGGTATATATATGGGGCGTTCTCTGTCAAAACGGTCACCCCCACCTGCCCATTTCAATTTTTGAGATAAAATGCTTTATAAGGGCTTAAAATTTTCGTTAAAATATGTATTTTTTAAAGCCGTATGGTGTTTTTCGAACAACCAAA